CCCAGGTATTTTTAGAGACAGAGGTCTCACTCTTGCTCAGGCTGGTCTCAAACCCCTGAGCTTAGGCAATCCACCTGTCTCAGCCTCCCAGAGTGCCAGGATTACTAGGATAACAGGGGTTATTACTATTTAAATGGTTCTGCATAGCATAGTTTTCAGAAATCTCTTCACTTAGAAGAGAAAAAAAACTACATACACACACACACACACACACACATGCACACACAACATATATATATACTGTTTCAAAAGTAAAACGCCCTTGCTGAAATGAGGGAATAACCTTTGATGTACACAGTGCAGCCGACACACAATTCTAATTTATTTTTCTGGCATATATGTAGAGCCCCCTCACCCTCTCTTCCCAGCCCCTACTTTATCATATTGTACATATTAACCACCATGACTCTGAAATACATGCCTTCGGTTCTGGCAAGTTCCCACCCCAAATTTCTAAGTGTAAAAATAACTCATAAGAATATCATCTTTACTTTTATATCCATGAAAATAACAATATTCTTTGTGGTACCATATCTTACCAATGAGAGTCAGCTGAGTTATATTTTCCTATGATTCTGCATCACTTGAAAGATCTCAGAATAACTGAGGACAATTTTACACATATTTTAGATCATAACATCACTTCCGTAAGTAATGAGCTTTTCCAGAAAGTGACTGTCTTTATTCGAGAGATGAGAAAACCTCGACTGTTTCCTTGAGGAATATATTTCTCTGGAATTGCTGCACAGTTAAAATGCAACTTTTTTTTTTTTTGCCACATACTTAAAGGCTTTATTTTTTGCTGCCAGGAAGACAGGATAATAGTACTCATAGTAGTCTAACTCCACACGTGGATTAAAACTACTTTCTGATAACTGCACTATAGTCCACAGAATGGATACAGCACAATTTATTCAATCTGTTAACTCTTGTTGCACATTTGAATTGTTTCCAGTTCAACCCCACAAATAAACCTACTATATATATTTTTTTTTAATTATTATTATATTTTTATTTTTCGATGGATAGAATCTCATTCTATCACCCCGGGTAGAGTGCAGTGATGTCAGCGTAGCTCACAGCAGCCTCAAATTCTTGGGCTCAAGTGATCCTCCTGCCTCAGCCTCCTAATCAGCTGGGAGTAGAAGTGCCCACCATGCAATTTTTAATAAGATTCAGTGAAACAGATACTTACTGGTAGTCCGTTGTGACATGCAAGGGGCTGGACATTTTTTGAGGCAATTGACACAGTTGTTTTGTTTTGTTTTGTTTTGTTTTGTTTTGTGGTTGTTGTTGCTAATGCATCAGATTCTAAAGCTGTGTAGTGGAGTACTCACCCACCATCCAATCCATTTCCTCTACATTGTCTCCGTACAAGCCGTATTTACTGTGCCTGACAAACTTCTCTCTGGTGATCAGCGGAGTGTGGACGTGGAGCAGAGAAAACCAGAGAAGGAAAGGCTCCCGTTTGTACCTGAGGGATAGAAAGTCAGCTGAGTTATATTTTCCTATGATTCTGCACTGCTTGAAAGATCTCAGAATAGCTGAGGACAATTTTACATGTATTTTAGATCATAGCATCAGTTCTGTGAGTCTTAAGGCTCACAACAAGAATTATGTTGAGGCTCGGTGTTGCTAGCTCAGCGGCTAGGGCTCCAGCCACATACACCAGAGCTGGGGGGTTCGAATCCAGCCTGGGCCTGATAAATAATGACAACTACAACCAAAAAATAGCCGGGCGTTGTAGCGGGCGCCTGTAGTCCTAGCTTCTTGGGAGGCTGAAGCAAGAGAATCCCTTAAGCCCAAGAGTTTGAGGTTGCTGTGAGCTGTGACACCACAGCACTCTACCCAGGGTGACATGGTGAGACTCTGCCTCAAAAAAATAAGAGGGTGCCACTTTTTTGTGTGGCACCCTCTGCTTGTGTGTGTGTATTTTTTAAGTGTTTTTTGGGGGTACAGGTTTGGAGTAGTCATACCTAAGGACAGACTCAGATACACTGCCCTAAGGTCTAAATGCTCCTGTTTCTCCATCCTCCCTGGGTTTCTCAGAGCTCCCATATTTAACTGAACATGTGATCACAGAATATACTTTCCAGAATCTCTTATAGCTAAGATCTGTGTCTGTATGAGTAGCTACTAACCACAGCAGCATGGGAACAGATAAGTAAAAATACAGCATGCCATGTGTAGAAAGGGTTCAGCTTCATTCTTCCCCCTCCTCTGAGATGCCTCCTGGAACATCAGCACAATGGCTGGAGCTCTGGCATCACAGCTCACAGCAACCTCCAACTCCTGGGCTCAAGCAAGTCTCCTGCCTCAGCCTCCCGAGTAGCTGGGACCACAGGTGCCCGCCACAACGCCTGGCTATTTTTTGGTTGCAGCCGTCATTGTTGTTTGGCAGGCCCAGGCTGGATGCGAACCTGCCACCTTGGGTGTACGTGGCTGGTGCCTTAGTGGCTTGAGCCACAGGCACCAAGCCTAATATATTATCTTCTATACACTCCGGCTTAACTCCAGTAAGGGAGAAGGATAGCTGTGTCGGTAAGAATCACGGTGACAACTTTAATGAGCCTCTAATTTGCCATATAGAAGTAAGCTGGTATTACACAGATGCCTTGCTTGAATAGAACACACAAAAGTTAAATACAGAGTCACAGACATCTTCCTTGAGCTGTGTCTCAATGAAAATCCATCCCAATAGACTCAATTTGGATACCAATCCAAGCTGCACCAATAAAAGCCTTCCAGTTTTCATTTGGTTTGGTTAAAAAAGGGGCAAGGAAGAAAGATATGGCTGGGGACTGGATACCTTTCCATAAAAGCCAGGGCTTCCTTCAGCATGAGGGAAGACACCTTTTCCTCTTTGATCGGCTGCTGAACGATTTCATGGTTTCTCATAAGGATGCAATTCCAACGCCGAACAAACCCGTAACTGGAGTACCAGGCCATGAAGAACAGAAACACGATTAGAGCAAGGATGAAGATGACCTTCCAGGGCACCGAGAACCAGCGGGCAAATCTGGGCACCATGAGCAGCAGAGGCAGCAAGCCCAGAACCGCCGTGGAGATCCACAGTTTGACCCGGAGCGAGCGGTGCAGCTCGGGCGTCTGGGCAGCCTGGCAGTCGCTCAGAAGCCCCAGAGGCATCCCGTAGAAATAGTCGAAGCCATGGTTGAGCGGGTGGTAGCAGTGGTCATCCCGAGAGGCACAATTTAAGCCCAGATGCCATTTTCCTGGAAGTAAAATGCAATAATAAAATTACACCATGGCACCATCAAACACCCATCCATCCGTTTCTAGAATGTAAATCTCCTTCTGTGACAGTCACATAGCAACTTTTGTTTTCTTACCATTGTGCTATCCCCAATTCCTTCCCAACGGACCCTAAGAAGGTTGCTAGGCTTTCTAGCAATTACTTTTTTCCTGCAATCTGCATCTTTCAGACGAATACCATTATTTAATTTTATTTTGAGACAGAGTCTCACCTGGTCACCATGGTGTTACAGCTCACAGCACCCTCAAATTCTTGGGCTCAAGCAATTCTCTGGAGCCTTCCAAGTAGCTGGAACTACAAGCGCCCATCACAGTGCGCAGCTGTTTTTTTGATGTAGTTGTCACTGTTGTTTGGCAGGCCTGGGTCAGGTTCAAACCCAACAACCCTAGTATATGTGGCTGGCGTCCCAGCTGCTGAGCTACAGGCACTGAGCCAATGTCTTTGTTTCTTTTTTTGTTTTTATGGTTTTTCTTTTTTAGAGACAGAGTCTCTTGTCACCCTCAGAATGCCCTGGTGTCACAGCTCACAGCAACCTCAAACTCTTGGGCAAAAGTGATTCTCTTGCCTCAGCCTCCCAAGTAGCTGGGACTATCGGCGCCCGCCACAACACCCGCCTACTTTTAGAGATGGGGTCTCATTCTTGCTCAGGCTGGTCTTAAACTCCTGAGCTGAAACAATCCACCTGTCTCGGCCTCCCAGAGTGCTGGGGTTACAGGTGTGAGCCTCTTTGCCCCGCTCAACAACAACCTTTTTGCTTCTTACAGGAATAGCATACAGTTGGATTCAAATGAAATGGTTTGCTTGGTACCAGAGCATCTGACCAATGATTAGAAATTTTCCAGGTATCTGGAGCTAGCTGGGAAGCCTGAATGAACACCTGGTGTGTCTGTTGGCCACGACACCACCCACCACAGTTCACTCTGCACTCTGGTATTCACGTCTAGCAGTGGCGCCTGAGTCTCTTATTCCACCCCATGGAAAAGTAGCTTTCTTTTTTTTTTTTTTTTGAGAACAGATCCCAAGGCTGTCGCCCTGGGTAGAGTGCTATGGCATCACAGCTCACAGCAACCTCCAGCTCCTCCTGGGATGAAGCGATTCTCCTGCCTCCGCCTCCCAATTAGCTGGGACTACAGGCACCTGCCGCAACGCCCGGCTATTTTTTGGTTGCAGCCGTCATTGCTGTTTGGCAGACCTGGGCTGGATTTGAATCCACCAGCTCAGGTGTATGTGGCTGGTGCCTTAGCTGCTTGAGCCACAGGTGCCCAGCCAGAAAAAGTAGCTTTTCTAGATGAAAATTTTCTCTGACAGCCCCCAAATTAGGGCTAAGGGAACTGGGCAATTGTGGAACTGAATTGCTAAGGGAACTGAATTGCATTGTGAAAAAAGAAAAATAAATTCCCACCAGGCGAGCGATTTTATTAACTGAGCACATTCTCTGACTTGGTCAGGTCTTTTTCTCAGTTATGTACCCTGTAGATAAATCTATCTGCTATCTAGATCCATTCAGGACCATGAGATTTCATCACTGAATGAGGGGGGAGTCGGATTTGAATCCAGCACTGTCTGTCCTCTGACAAGGTTGCTAGTCCAAGGTTGCTGGTCTCAGTCCCAGGGTGGAAACACTCCCTGGTTGCAACGCTCTTACTTTAACTGAAGACATCTCAGAACTGTGCCCTCCAGTTCCCACTGAGAACTGTCACATCCCCAAAATCATTTCCTTGCGTCCTCTTTTCTTAGGCAAACATCTCCTGGGACCGGAATTGTACAGAACAAACTTACCTGGCAGTCCATTGTTGTGCAAACTCACGCCGCTCCAGATGGCACAAAAGATCATGTCACTTAGGGTGGTAATTGTTTCAACCTAGCAATGATTATGGCTTTACATCCTCAATTTTAAGAGTATGACATTAAGGATTTGCAATTAACAGTATCACAAAAGTAGTACATCCCTGCACAATATTCCATTCTCACAGCAACCTTGGATAAGTCCATTTGCTTTCTAAAAACTGTGCCGTTAACGCTGAACATTCTCAAAAATAGTGTGACAAGATCCTTCCTCATGTGTCTTATCTCAAAGACAAGTCCACTGCCATGTACACTAAGGTGACCAGACGTCCCGATTTTTAACAATTTGTCCCATGTCCCATGGCGTTTTTAAAAAGTCCCAATTTTTGGAAAGAATGCACGACAAGCTAAGGAACATGGGAGAATGGGAAGGGAATATACGGTATTCATCTGCCGTGTGGCTATTTCGCCAGGATATGAGTTTTATATTATTTTTGTTAGTTTTATTAACGTTAAACTTTAATAACAACAAATAATTGCTGAGAACTGATTATCCAGAACTGCTTATCAAAGTTCGCATTGCTGGTCAGTTGTTAGAATTTGATGAGAAATATGCCAAAGAATAAAATAATACTATACATAATTTTTTTAATGTATTATATTTGTAAATTGTACTTAGTTGAAATTAAAAAAAAATTACCTATTTTTGTGTTCTATTAGAATTTTTTGTTGTTCCATATAGACCAAATTTTTAATTAAGAAACCCTCCCCCACAATGGTGTCCCGCTTTACCAATGTTAAAATCTGGTCACTTTAGTGTACACAGCCAACTTCCCTGGAAACATTTAGCAGAAAGGAAAAGGAATATTTACAGCCACCTCTCCACATGCGAATTCCCCCCCCCACCATACCTATGAGTCCTGTGCGGTACCCCCGATGCTGAAGCAGCTTCGCAAAAGTCGTTTCATTGATGGGAAGCCCCCCTGAACCCCCAAGCCAGGCAAAGTCACGGTTCAGGTTGGATGGGGACGCTGTCCCTAAAAGAACACACAGTGGATTAGTGCCACAGTCCCTTTCTGTCTCAAAAAAAAAAAGAGTCTCACTATGTCACCCTTGGTAGAGTGCCATGGCATCACAGCTCACAGCAACCTCAAACTCTTGGGCTTACATGGTTCTCTTCCCTCAGCCTCCCGAGTAGCTGGGGCTACAGGTGCCTGCCACAATGCCTGGCTATTTTCTGATTGCTGCTGTCATTATTGTTTAGCAGGCCAAGGCCAGGCACAAACCTGCCAGCCTGGGTGCCCTACTCACTGAGCTATGGTGCTACCCACAGTCCTTCTTTTAATAAAGCTTCATCTGGGCTCAGTGTCCACAGCACAGTGTTACGGCGTCGGCCATGTACACTGAGATTGGTGTCTTCAAACCTCGCCCTGGCTAGCTAAACAATAATGCAACAACAACAACAAAATATCCGGGCATTGTGGCAGGTACCTGTGGTCCCAGCTACCTGTGAGGCTGAGGCAAGAGAATCGCTTGAGACCAAGAGTTTGAGGTTGCTGTGAGGTATGACGCCACGGCACTCTACAAAGGGTGACATAGTAAGACTCTGTCTCAAAAAAGAAAAAAATGAAGTTTCATCTGCATTTACAGCCACTCCGCATCACTCACATAAGTGCTATAATCTTTGCAAATAGCAGGATTCATGGGCACAAGCTGGAGGTCTCTGTTGAGGCCACCTGCATTTTCCAAGGTCTCTGGGCCTCTCTGTCCACATGTCCTTACACTCCTCTCTTCCCACTTGTTAAAACAAATCTGCCATGGAATTAGGCTTCCATATTAAATATAGGATTCCTGGTTACATCTGAATTCTACCTTAACAATGGTTAACTTTTGGCTCGGCGCTTGTAGCCCAGTGGTTACAGTGCCAGCCACATACACCTAGGGTGGCAGGTTCGAACCTGGCTGGGGCCAGTTAAACAACTGCAACAACAACAACAAAATTAGCTGGGCATTGTGGTGAGCACCTGTAGTCCCAGATATTTGGGAGGCAAGAGAATCACTTAAGCCCAAGAGTTGGAGGTTGCTGTGAGCTGTGATACCACAGCACTCTACCCAGGGTGACATAGTGAGACTCTGTCTCAAGAAAAAAAGAAAAATTGGATACACCTATCCCCAGTATTGCCTGGGGCATACTTGCACCAAAAATGAATTTGTTGAGAATCTGACATTCAAATACAACTGGGAATACTACTCTGGGTGATATGCGGTATTTGGAGACTTTGGTTCTAAACTTCTGCCCCATCTCCCTGTGTGGTGCAGCCCCATGTCCTCAGGTCTCTTCCCCTGAAGTTTGGGTTGTATCTTTAACTGTCTACCAGACCTCTGTGGGCCTGGGGACCTTAGTCTCAGCCTGTCAAATGCAGGCTCCAATCTCCTGCTTCAAACTGGTCTCAGCAAAGGATGGCATCAAGGATTCATGGGCACAAGCTTGAGGGAAGAAAACTAGCACAGAAAAGTCAATGATGCATTTGAAATGCATTTTCCATAACCTGAAAATTGGTTCCTGCATGTTACTTTGAAATTAAAAAAACACTTCAAAATAACTTTGTGATGTTCTCTTTACCAAATCTTAAAAGCATATCTGAAATGTTTATGAAACGTGGTTATACCTTCTAAGTATAAAGTATATGTGTGCATATTTTAAAATGTGTGTTTAAGCTTGGCACCTGTGGCTCAAGTGGCTAAGGCGCTAGCCACATACACCTAAGGTGGCAGGTTCGAATCCAGCCCGGGCCTGCCAAACAACGACGGCTACAACAAAAAAATAGACAAGCATTGTGGTGGGGGGTGCCTGTGGTCCCAGCTACTTGGGAGGCTGAGGCAGGAGACTTGCTTGAGCCCAGGAGTTGGAGGTTGCTGTGAGCTGTGATGCCACAGCACTCTACCCAGGGGAATAGCTTGGGGCTCTGTCTCAAAATAAAATAAAATAAAACAAAAAGTGTATATAGCATTTCACTTTTGATCTGCCCACTCTAAAAAAAAAAAAAAAAAAAAAAAACCAAGTGAAGGGCAGAAAGAATTAAAAATCTCATCAGGGCACAGTGGCTCACACTGACAACCCCAGCATTCTGGGAGGCTAAAGAGGGAGCATATTTTGAGCTCAGAAGTTTAAAAGCAGCCTGAGCAAGAGTGAGACCCCATTTCTATGAAAAATAGAAAAATTAGATGGGCACGGGACTTACACCTATAATTTGTGTCAAATAATTTAAAAATATATATGGCAACAACTTGATTGGGAATCTCTCCTACAATCCTTCAACTTTATTTTTTCTTTCAAAATCATTCTAGTTCATCTGGATACACCTGATATTAAAATTGGAAAAATATATTATTATAAAGGGAAAGTACAAACATATTTCACTTTTAAATGAGGGTGCAATATCCTAAACGACATATTAACAAGTTGAATTAAAGATTAACATTCAAGTAATGTACTTCGGTCAAAATTAAATCCAATTTATGTGAGAATTAGTCACTATTTTCTTTTTTTTTTTTTCCCTCATGCCCTTCCCCCTTCTCTCTCCGTCTGCTCACCCCTCATCACCAATCCTTCAACTTTAAAAAAAAAATGTCTTAAATAAATTTTTTTCTGCCCTCATCAGTACTTTTCATTTCCTGAAGTTATAAGTATAATCGGACCACATCTTTGCCCTCTCTTCACACAAGGTACTAAATATATTATTTAGAGATTGCTTATGTGGCAACCAAACCATCTTGAAGAAAATTGAAAACCCTGAAGTATGATAAAAGTCCTGTGGACAAGAAACATATAGATAATAATAAGTTAGTATCCATGGGATGAGAACTTACAATGTTTACTCCTAATTTTCACGTAATTCAAATTAAGCTGATAAGTCCATTCCCTGGATGGCATCAGATGAGAAGCTGCCACTTACAAGGTAGAAAACTCACAGAGAAATAAAATTTTTTCACTGAAAAATAAACTGTGATGAGCTTGGAGCCCACAGCACGGTGGTTATGGCACTAGCCACATACACCAAGGGTGGTGGGTTTGAACCTTGCCCCAGACAACTAAACAACTGCAATGAAAAAGTAGCCCTGTGTTGAGGTGGGCACCTGTTATCCCAGCTACTTGGGAGGGTGAGGCAAGAGAATCACTTAAACCCAGGAGTTGGAGGTTGCTGTGAGCTGTGACAGCACAGCACTCTACAGAGGGTCTCAAAAAAAAAATTTAAAAACTATGATGGTTACTAAAATGGTAAGAAGCAGATACTAGAATTAAATAAAATACAGTTGGCGGGGGGGGGGCGATTTCACATAGAGACTAATAACCTAGTCACCTCAATAGGTTCTGAGAGCACTACTGTATTTTAGCTGGGTATAAAAGTTGTTCAGAAAGTCAAGTTCAAATTGATATTCTTCATGTTGATTCTAAGCTAAGCAACCAATGAAAATTTTAAATTGCGATCGTTATACGTAATTCAGGGAGTCTAAATGTTGAAATTACATGTGGAGGGGTGACAGGAATAGGAATGTATGAAACTTTCATTTTCTTAGTCATATATATTTTTTTTTGGCCGGGGCCAGGTTTGAACCCACCACCTCCAGTATATGGGGCTGGCGCCCTACTCCTTTGAGCCACAGGCACCGCCCCATTCTTGGTCATGTGTTCTTTCCAGTTCCTCACTCTAATTTTCTAATCTATCCTCAGAAACAGATTAGATGTACTTATTTATTTATTATTTATTTTTGAGGCAGAGTCTCATTATGTCACCTTTGGTAGAGTGCCATAGTGTCACAGCTCACAGCAACCTCAAACTCTTGGGCTTAAGTAACACTCTTGCCTCAGCCTCCCAAGTAGCCGGGACTACAGGTGCCCACCACGACACCTGGCTATTTTTTTGTTTTCTGGTTATAGTTGTCATTGTTTAGCTGACCTGGGCTGGGTTCAAACCCGGTGCCGTAACCACTGTGCTATGGGCGCCAAGCCTGGATGCACTTATCTTAAAAGTATTTACTGTGTGGTTTCTGCTCCCTTTATGATTTCAGGGGCATCTTGAAGGCTCTTACCCCAAGTACCTGCATGTGGAGTGTCCATGGTAGCTGGGAAATTGCTCCCAAGAGGCACAAATGCTGTCACTGAGTGTGGGGAGATGACAGGTGTGACTGCAGGTTGACAGGCACATCTGTTATGGCCGCCTAGTTGCAGTGACGTAACGCCCTTTCAATTTATTCTATCCATAATCCCTCAAGGTGACTTTTCAGAATTCTTACAAGGACTAGCAAACACAAATCATTAGAAAGTATTCTGCTGAAATAAAATGGTTGTTCTGTTTCTTTTGAGTCACCTGATCTGATGGGATACCGGCCAGTCAGGAAGGCAGCCCGGCTCGGGGTACACATTGAGGCGGCCGCCAGGTGCTGAGACAACCTCACCCCTTCATTCGCCAGACGGTCGATGTTTGGCGTGCTGTGGAGGGCAGGAGAATTCAGCAGGTGAGGTTTTTAACTTCCAACAAAACGATCAAGATTCAAAGCCATTCTACTCTGGGGTGAGATGAGTCTGTGTCTGCTGTACAAAACTCCCCCTCTTAAAACCTCTATCTGTCCACCTGCGTAGAGGC